GGGGCTGGAGCCGAGGTGGTCCTTGGGGCCTGGAGCACAGCCCCCTTCCCCAGCCTGCCTTCATACCTTGACATGGTGATGATGGACGGGAGGCGCGCGGTGGCACCGCTGGGACCACCACCACTCCCCAAACAGAGCTTGGGATGCCCCAGGCTGCACGGGGATATCTTTCTTGGGGTCTCCTCATCCCTTCATATCACAGATCTGAGCGGGGGAGGCAGGGGCTCCCCCAGGCAAAGCCCCTCTCTGTACGTGGCCGTCACCACCCGATATTAAAAACCACGGTGAGGTGTTGAGGCATTGGCAAAGATCCGCTTCTCCAGCAAAGTCTCTGCAGCTCTGGAGGGAGGAACGAGCTGCCCCCTCCCCATAAGCCCCCACAAGGTGGCTCCAGTCTCTGCCCTGGTGCCTGGGACCCCCCCGTGCCCCTCATTGAAGTGACAGCAGGAGATGGATGGGGACAAGTGGGCGCCGCGGGGCTGGGGGCTCTTTGTGGGAGGTGACAGACACCAGGATGGGACATTATAGGGGAAAAGCAGGGGGGTTACTCCAGAGCCCCCCTACTTCCCTCCAAACTCCACTGGGGCCATGGACACTGTCATAGCCCAGCACGGAGTGCATTGCAGAGGGATGAGGCATGCTGAAGCTCTGGGAGAGGGTCTGGAGGACCAGTGGATGTCCTTGTGGGGATGCCGGTGGCTTTCTGTACCTGTTGGTGTCCCAGTGATGGTGGCATTGGCCTGAGCTCCCTCCCTGCTCTGCACAGAGCTGGATATTTTCTTCCAACTGGGACTCAGCCTTCTGTCCTGCCTTGGGCTCGGCACTTGAATCCTTCCCGTGTCCATCGTAACACAGAGGGGACCCTGTGTCCCCAGGCACTTGGGGCAGCCAAGGGGGCAGCCCAGGCAGCTCCAGCATTTGGGACCAGGGCTGGGACTGATGTGAAGCAGGGAGGAGCCATCTCCCCAGGATCCCCCCTCATCCCCCACACGTGTCCGTGCCCTGCGGAGCCGGCTCAGCCCCATCCATCTCCTGCTGTCAGCCAGGCTTGGCTGCGGGGCCAGTATCGAGCACCAGATGAGGAGGTGTGAGAGAGGCAGAGCTGACAGCGGGCAGGAGGATGGAGGGGGCTCAGCCCTGGGCAGGATTGGATCTCCCAGGGCTCATCCACAGCTCCTGGACCTCCTGGGTGGAACTGGATGAGCTTTAAGGTCCTTTCCCAGTCCAAGCCATTCCAGGATTCTCTGGTTGGTGTAGATGACTACAGGTGGGTTTCCTAAACCCATTTTGAAGCACATGACACAAAATGGTTTTTCAAAATGAACTTTTTTGTTCCCAAATGGGCAATTGGGAGCCAGAAAAAAACTTCAAAAAAGGGAAACAGTGAATCTTTCCCATGAGGAATAATTGCCCCAGACAGCAGGACAAGCTGGACAGAGCTGTGGAGGTTGTGGTGGCCACCAAGACGAAGCAGGAGAAAAGCGTTGGCAGATGGTCAGATGACTCCCTGCAATGAGCCTCTGACTCAGCTGGAATGGGGAAGTAAAAGCTGCTTGGGAGGGCAGTGAGGGGAGAAGAGGAATTGACCCTGTTTTGCAGGGACTAGTGAACAGCTGGTGCGGTGGGGGGCAAGAGGGAAGTGAGAAGGCGGGAAGTGATAATACTCATTTCTCAACCAGAAATACACATATCTGTTTGGTCAGAGTGGGCAACTCAAGCAGCAATTGGCTCTTCATTTATTTTATTTATTAATTCTTAATTGTTTCTTTAATTTGTAGAACCCTGACTGAGAAATGAGGACAAGAATTTTAGCAGATAAAGTTATACCCTGGAGACATCCAAAGCTGGGTTGGCCAGAGCTTGGAGCACCCTGGTTTAGTAAAAGGTGTCCATGCCCATTACAGGGGCTGGGTCTGGATGGTCTTTAAGGTCCTTTCCAATCCAAATAATTCCAGGTTCTAGGATCTGCTCTAGGGAATGTGTAGTGCAAAATAAAATTGATAATTGCAAAGATAAAAGAGTAATTTTCCTAATTATGTCCATTACTTCATATTAATAGTTTTTTCCCCTCCTATATATAATAAATAAAAGATATATTATACAAGTATAATTATGTATTATTAAAAAGTAATATAGAAATAAAGAAGAATTTAAAAAGTCTTTCAAATTCAAGTCTTCACCAAACCCCTTTGATTTTGTTTCACTCCTCCTGACACCATTGTGTACATGAGTGGCATCGCTCCGGCTCTGCAGGCATCAATTGTGATGTGCCATGGGGATCCCATCCCTAAAACCCAAGAGAGAAACCTTGGGATAGATCCCAAGGCTTCTGGGGAAGGCTCATTTTGTTTTCAGGTGCTTTGGAGACCCTTTGGCAACTGTTCATGTGGGGAAGGTGTAAAACTTAAAATCATCCAGTCATGTTAGAGGATGGAACAGGAAAAACTTCCTGGTTTTGGCAAGACCGATGGGGCTTGAGGACTTCAACTCAAGGACCTGTGAGTATCTTGACTCAAGCTGCCATTAACTAAAGGGTGGGACTGTAAGTGGTTTTGGGACAGTTTTTTGCTGGATGGGAACAGTCATAAATTGGATTAGGAGGGGGTGGTTTTCCCTTGAAGCTTCACGTGGATGAACTTGCAACCAAGAATGTTCATTTTAATTAACCCAGGTTGATTGGAAATCACTTCAACGGTGTCTGTTGTCGATTTAATACAACACTAATTAACGTGGAAAATTAAGGCATGATGTTATTGTATTTGTTATTGTATTTATTTGTCCCTAAATAAGAACATCTCCTCCTCCCCTACAAAATGTCATCCCTTCTAGGGACGGGGCAGGGCTTGGAGCAGCCTGGGATAGTGGAAGGTGTCACTGCCCATGGCAGAGGGTTGGAATGAGATCAGCTTTAGGATCCCTTCCAACCCATTCCAGGATTCCATAATTCTGTGTGTTGTATTCAGATGCACCTGGCTCGTTCAATGCCTCCAAACCTCCCACACCATCTCCTCTGTGGCCTGTCTCTTTCCACCCAGGCAAGGCTGATTTTCCACCCCAGCTGCAGTTTTCTGATCATTCCAGCTTCCAGGTTTCAGGACTTGAGTCATCTCAGCCCAGGACTCATCCTCTCTCCTTGTAGGCTTGGAATGAGTCACCACAGGTTCCCCTGATGGAGACAACAATGTGTTTGGGGGCTTTGACTCATCTGATCTATTTTAAACATTTTTTTTATGGAAAAATGGCATGGATTTCTCCACTTGCTGCCTGATGGTGAAAGGTTGCAGGGTGACACAGTCACGTGGGAAATGCAGGATTTATTCAGAGCAGGCACGCTCCAGGCACAGGCTGAAGAGTCAATTTGAGCCTCAAGGGCTTAAATTCAGACTATAATCATCATCAGGAAGTGTAAAAATAATTTTGCAGCAGGAGAGTTCCTGAAGTGTTTTCCCTTTATCCCAGTTTGCAGTTGGAACACTTCTCTAAATCCTGGGCTGTCTCCCCATTCCCAAATCTTGATTTCCTATATCAATTATTTTTATAAGTTTATTTATATATAAAATAATATTAAAATTATATCTATGTTATATATGTATATAGAAGTAGGCAGCCAATCCTCAAGTTTCCATTTAACTTTCTGAAACTGATTTTATTTGTTTAACTAATTGTTTTTATTTATCAGTGCAGGTCTCCTCTTCAGGAGCTGCTTCCAAAGTAACCAGTTCCCAAACCATTCCAGGATTCTGTGTGAATGTGTGTGGTTCTCACTGGGACATGGCACATCCTCTTCTAGGCTACCTTGAGCGTGTTGATCCATCCAATTCTGCCCTGAGACGTCACAGGATATGAAAATCTGCTTCAGCTGGACCTGGGAGGAAAGAGGAGCCAAAATCTCCCTTCAGGCATGTTTGCATTGGGTATAGGGAAGGAATTCTTCCCTGTGAGGGTGCTGAGGCCCTGGCACAGGTTGCCCAGAGCTGGGTTGCCATCTGTGGCTGCTCCTGGATCCCTGGAAATGTCCAAGGTCAGGCTGGACGGGCTGATCTTGGTGAGTCCAACTGCCTTGCACAAGGGTCTTATGGAAGTTGAGTAGGAAAGCAGGTGCCACAATGGAGATCTTTACCCCAGGACAAGGATGAATATTCTACACAGAGTGCAGACCAAGCACCAGCCTCTCAGCAGGGATGAAATCCAATCCCTGCTTTTTAATTGAATTCATTTCCTTTCTATGTCTTGGATCTTTCACACCAAGGAAAGATGGTTTGTTGAGTAAGAAAGAGTGAGGCTGAACTTGGATTAATCAAGAAATCGAGGTCAGTTCTCTGACAGGGGCAGATTTCCAGACCTAGGCAGGTGGATGCTGTCCCCAGGGAGGACTCAGCCCCCAAACTGCTCGATTTTCATTATCTGTAACATCTCCAGCACCATCCCGGTGCCACCTTGCCTCCGGCATCTCCTCGTGGGTGATGAAAAGCAGCTCTAAATCCTCATTATAGCAGCAGGAGACCAGACACATCGCTTCTGGGACATCCGAAATGGGATGTCAGATTCTGGGGATGAAACTCA